ATGGCAAATTAAAGGTGAAAGAGGCTGGTGGAGGAGGGTCTTCTAGCCTTACATTCTTCTTTGTAAGGCCAGAGGAAAATGCTGAGAGCTGTAGAATACAGGCTGGGATAAGAAGTTCAGTCTCCTGCTGGGGCAGCTAACCGCATCTTATAGCCCTTTCTGAGACTCATCTTAAGATGAAATAGGGTCTATCTGGGGTTTTTGTTCCTACTGGAAGGCTATCTCACCATTTCACCGCTCCCTTGGTTACAAACCAAAGAGGCAGCCTAATTTTTTTCTAGTCCAGATTATATTAATTTGATCTTGTGCTGATATTGTTCTCTATGTAGTTGTCTCACTCCCCATTGTGTTTAACTCCTTAAGGCATTCAAAACAACTAGAATCAAATGATGGTTTGGATTGGAAAGGACCTTAAATATCATACATTTCCAACCCCCTACTGTGAACTGCTTGCCACCTACCAGTTCAGGCTGCCCAGGGCCCCATCCAACCTGGCCTTCAGTGCTTCCAGGGATGGGGCACCACAGCTTCTCAGGGCAGCCTGTGCCAGTGCTTCACCACTCTCTGAATAAAGAATTCTCATTTAACATCTAATCTCAATCTCCTCTATTTCAATTTAAAGCTACTCCTCTTTTTCCTATTGCTCTCTGTCCAAGAAATGTGTCCGTCTCCCTCCTGCTTATAAGCTCCCTTTAAGTACTGGAAGGCCACAGTGATGTCTCCCCGCAGCCTTCTCTTCTCCAGGCTGAAAAAGCCCAGCTCCCTCAACCTGTCTTTGTAGAGGAGGTGCTCCAAACCTCCAATCATCTTAGTGGCCCTCCTCTCGGCCCACTCCAACAGTTTCACAGCTTTCTTGTGGAGCCCCAGGTCTGGGTGCAGTACTCCAGATGGGGCCTTACAAAGGCAGAGCAGATGGGGACAATCACCTCCCCCTCCCTGCTGGCCGCCCCTGTTTTGATGCAGCCTAGGATACTGTTGGCCTTTCAGACTCCCAGAGCCCCTTGCTGATTTGTGTCAAGCTTTTCATCCGCCAGAGCCCACACAACCTGGTTAATACTTCTGCCCTCACTTCTGTAAGCTTGTTTCCATTCTTTAGGACAGGCTGTGCTACATCTACTTGCCCTATTCTTGCAGATTTAAATTTCAGTTCATGTTTCCTGTAACAGGACAGAATATGTATTCCTCTAACAAAAATACATGCAGAATTCCTAGTGCAATCTCAGTAGGGTTTTCACGGTGGTATTAGCACATAATCAATTTGCTGCAAGTACCTTCCAAGCTGCGGCCTCCCATAAATTCTGTATTTGGGATCAGATACAATAGATAAGCTTTTGTATCTGTGGAGATCCTCAGGGCTATAATGTGCTTAAGCTCTGTTCTGTTAAGTTCTGTTCTGACTACGCCATTTTCTACATCACCCAGTTGTTCTTGTACGACTTCCTTGTTGCCCTCTATTCTTTCCCAGCTTGTATCTTTGACAAATAGAGGCCTATTTTTGTGTTCACTTTGGCAGCCGTTTAATTCTTCACTGTTGTCTTCTTGTTCTGTTGATGCCACCCAAACAGGATTTTCAGCAGTCTTGCAAAGAATGTCTAGGTGAAAGCTTTCTGCCATTTGATATTCTTCCCAGCTCTTACTGTTTGAGGTGAGCCATAAATTGCTACTACTTTGTCACTGACAAATTTATGCGTTTTTCTACTTCTATTATGCAGCTATCTTTGACATAACACAGACACGGATATATTTTGCTGGGATTTCCACAGTGTCAGTGTCTCTGTGCTCTTTACAGATCGTTCAACTGTCATTCTTCTGTTACAATCTTGGCAATCTGTCCAGCTGCCCATAAGAAGAAGAGAGATTTCTTGCTTACTAATTCTCTTCAGCCAATAAACAAGATGTGAGAAACCCAAACAAGAACTTGGGGGGCAGGCTGACATCAAGAGAGAGACATCTGAAGGGTTGTGTAGCTCAATAGAATTAAGAAATAATAAAGCTGTCAGACAGTGTTGCCTGATTTATACAGGCACGCCCCAAGCCAAAGGTGCTGTTTGCCAAGGCCACCTTGCAGTCCTTGGTTTGTAAAATAAGTCACAGGTAACTTTTCTGATGAATTGCGTGGAGAATCACGATGGCAGTTCTTGCTATTTACTGCGGTAAGATGCTAAAATAGGAGATGGCAAAGTAACACTTGCTGCTCTAGGTGCTCTGCCATCCTGGCAGCGATGGCACTAGCACACCAAGATGAGGGATGCTCTCAGCTGATGGATGCTGGGGCAGTAACGGTGGGTCCCATGCTGCCTGCTCATTAGCATTAGCATCACCTTGACCTTCACCAGCCCATCAGAAGGATCATCCCAAGCTGAGGAAAACTGCTTATCTTCTGCACATCATCAAACCTCTGGCCTGACTGGTGCCTCTCGGATGCTTAAATGTGGTCTCTGACATCTTTGTTTTCCACGATTTTAGGTCAGAACTGCCAAACTGGGAGGGAACACATAGTGGGAATGTACCCCCAGCTCCAAGGCCAGATCTTCCTTTAATGATCATGCATGCTACTTAGGAGGGTGTGTGTATGCGAATGTAGAATTGCCTTTGTTATTTTTTCTTTTTCACGCTGTCAGGAACGTTTTGAATACCAGAGAAAAAGAAAAGTGCTCTTCTCGGCATGAGAGAAGTTGTCACACTTGCAAAATGAAGGATGCAGTCCCAAATGTTTGTAATCTCAGGGTCTGAAGGAGGATCAGAAACCGTGTATAGAATTTCAGACTTCTTTGAATGCAGCTTTTGAAAGCTGCTCCTGGCAGAGGCACTACTAGTCAGTATGCTCAGAAACAGGAACAATTGTCTTTAAGGTGCAGCAGGAGGAAACACCTTGCACATTATGAAAGTGAATAACCACAGTCCCTGAAGGAATCCAGCTCCTGTTGGAGCCAGTACTGCACACTCCTATGAAGTCTGTTGAAACAGCAGTGCGTTTTCATAGGACTTCCAGGAAGGATCTTCCCCTTAAGCTTCTTAATTATGGTACATCTGCAGTTGGCAGATGACTACTGGCAGGAGAATGAGGAACTGGCTGGGAATGTTTCTGTTTGACATCATGAAGTCACCCGTTTCTTTACTGGTATTTAGAAATAATAACTGTGAACTGGAAAGGAGTTTGCTAAGATTTTCATTTCTTCCCTGTTGGTGACAGCACAGTTCTGGCTATGAAAGTCTGCTTACAAGGAAGAGGGTAAAAATCATACGGATAATAAATCTGTTTGAAGACAATGAGGTTTTAGCTGCATTTATCATGAAGAAATTGAGACCTTTACTGGATAGCTAGGGTATTTATGTGTCTTTTTGCTTAGTTACTTATTGACCCCAACAGAGGTCAAATAAGAACTCAGGTCTCTCAGGCTACTGGCCTGGATTGATTGCATACAGCTGTAGTTTTAGCAGTGATTTAGGGTTTATTAATATTCCTTCAGTAAATCACAGGGTTAGTAATGTTACTCTCAGGAAAGAAAAAAAAAAAAAAAGCCAAACCTGACAGATATCCCAGCTCAGGTGGGAACTGAGGATCACAGCTCAGTGCAGTCCTAGAGAACAAAAGGGACTCTTAGGACCTTTTTTTATAGGGCCTCAAGACTTTGGTCAGAAAACTTTCCATTCTGGCTACAGTTTAGGTGAGGCAATCCTGGAATTTTCTCTCAGCTGTACAGTTCCAGTAATCCCAGTTTGTACAGTTCTGGCACTTTTTGGGTCAGGCTGTGATCCAAGGAACAGGAGTTCCAGGTATGGTCAGGGAGTGCCTGACCGTCCCAACTCACTGCTCTCAAACAAAGGTGAAACCACAAGAGTGGCTTTTGTTGAAATTGCAGCGTGGCCCAGATGGGCTGCACTCATCTGGGCCATGCTTATTGACCACGAGGCAACGCTAATCCTCAAAAAGTGCCATTTGTTGCCATTAAATTGAACTGATACTTCAATGCAATCAGTATCATCAAGTGGTTTGGCTTGGAATATGGAGTCTAGGAGCCCTATTGGAGCAGCTACTTTCTAATGGAGTTGTATTTTGAAGCAGGACACTGTAAAAAGCTGATCTCCTAAAGAGGCTCCTAAACATTAGGGTCAATTTTCCAGTGCACTTTCTGAAGCGTCTGCAGTTCCCCGTGCAAGGCTGCCTAAACATAGCACTTCCAATTGAATACAACTATATGCAGGCAGACTGCTTCTTGCCAGCACTGTCCTTCTGAAATGAACACAGCAAACAACAATTTCAAAGTCTGGTAGAAAGTAACATTAAAAAGTATACCTGCTTTCAGTAGTTCAGCTTAGTTATTCCCACTAGAAACATCTTGTACAGGCTGAACATCGGGGCTCCAGATTAGTGGTAAAACTGACTTCATAGGATCATAGAATCGTAGAATGGCCTTGGATTAGAAGAGACACCAAGGATCATTAAACTCCAACTCCCCTGCCACAGGCAAGGCCACCAACCTCCAGATCTGGTAGCAGACCAGGCTGCCCAGGGCTCCATCCAACCTGGCCTTGAACACCTCCAGGGATGGAGCATCCACAACTTCTTTGGGCAGCCTGTGCCAGCACCTCACCACTCTCTCTGTGAAGAACTTTCCCCTGACATCCAATCTAAGCCTTCCTGCCTTGAGGTCAAATCCATTCCCCCTCGTTCCATCACTGTTTACTCTTGTAAAAAGTTGATTCCCCTCGTTTTTATAATCCCCTTTAAAAAATGGAAGGCTGCAATGAGGTCTCCTCGCAGTCTTCTCTTCTCCAGGCTGAACAAGCCCAGCTCCCTCAGCCTGTCATTATAGGAGAGATGCTCCAGCCCCCTGATCACCTTTGTGGCCCTCCTCTGGACCCTCTCCAACATTTCTCCATCTTTCCTGTACTGGGGAACCCCAGGCCTGGATGCAGTACTCCAGATGGGGCTCAAAAGGGCAGAGTAAAGAAGGACAATCACCTTCCTCACCCTGCTGGCCACCTCTCTTCTGATGGAGCTCAGGATATCATTGGCTTTCTGAGCTGCAACTTCTCCTTATTAGTTCCACTATCAAAACAGGAACAATACAACAGGTGCCGATGGCTAGAGCAGAGAGTTTTTCACACTTCTTCATTTCAGTAGATCTCAGATTTCAGTAGATTTCAGTAGAAGAGGAATGTTGAAGTTGTGCCTTCTGCATGTGCTCCTTCCTCCCCAAATACTCCTGCCTGATGCCTTACCCCACCTGCTGCCGAATGGCTCCACGGCCCCCTGCACCCAGAGCCCTGATGAACCCAGCACTGCTTCAGACACTGTAATAGCACAGCATGACCAAGTTGCACAAATGATGTGTCGCATCCTTCAGCACTTGAGAAGAAAAGCCAGATTTGCATTGTCAGGGAATGGTTTAGTAATTCTGCCAATTAAAACCTGTTTATTTACTACGGCTACTTTTATTATGTTGTTAGTAGTGGTATGTTGATGATGAACAGTGGCTGTGCAGTAAAATCAAGACTGTAGATATTGCAACAGACAATAAAATTCCTCTGTTGCTTAGCTAACATGGTACTTCCCACATTGTATAAGAAATTTGGCAAGTTTAGAGTGATGTTTTAAGTGTTGGGAAATTTCTGTATACTCAAGAGGGTGTTTCTGACAACTGTAGAACAGAGAAATCAAAAGGGGGTGGGAGGAATTTAAAAGAAGAGACAGGTGCAAGAGAGCCTGCAGTCCCACTGTGTGTACGACACTGGCAACATGAGGTCTTTGCTAATCTTGGTGCTTTGCTTCCTGCCCCTGGCTGCTCTGGGGAAAGTCTATGGACGATGTGAGCTGGCAGCAGCTATGAAGCGTCTGGGACTTGATAACTATCGGGGATACAGCCTGGGAAACTGTAAGTCTGTACTCTTATGATTTCCAGGGAGCACACGGGGTGGGAATTTCCATTTAACAAGCTTCTTTAAAGTGAGCAGGTCTGCATGATGTTGGAATTTAGATATTAAGAAGCCATCGGTTTAGTCCATCTCTGCTTGCACAGACTGCAGGTATTTTCTACAGATTTTCCCTTTACGCTCCTTTCCCTATGATTCTTCCTCAGCTGAACAGAGATGCTGTCATCGGAAAGGTTTCCCAGAAGCAGCCTGCCCCGTTCTACCTCCTCAGATCCTAAGTGCTCTGGTTTTACTTGCTTCAGCTCCTTCCTCAGCTTCTTCCCAAGGCTGTGGAGCAAGCAGGAGCAGAGTGCAGAGCCATGCTGGGCAGAGACACTGGTGTCAGGCTGGCTTGGTGGGGATTGCTACAAGGAGTAGTGGGGGAGAAGGGATGCTGTGCATGCTGATGTGGGAAGGTCAGTCAGAAAGAAAGTGGGCTGAGAGGGGATCCTAGAGTCAAGGAGTGAGGGGCCACTTGAAAGCTTCTTTCCTCTGGTGGGCACTGACAACAGATTATTGTTAAACCAATTTCCTTTGAAGGGAAGCGTGCATGCATTCTGTTCCCAGATCTGGAGAGCAATCCATCATGTTCACAGCTGAAACGTGAATCGCTGTCCCCATCCCTCCTCCTTCCTGCTGCCCTGACACGGATGCAGCAGCACATAAATAGGACAAAATGAGGCCATCATAAGCCACGTAAAGTACAAGCAGCTGAAATAAGCCTCATTAAGGTGAGCAGGTATTGATGCAGAAAGAACATGGGGTGAGCCTGGCAGCAGGAGCAATGCGAGCAGCTTTGTTTGGATGCATCTGCACTGCTTGCCAAAAGCACCACCTGTGAGACGTGCTGGGGCTGCCCAAAGCTTCCAAGAGTGGTAGGAGCTGCGCTGCAGAGCACAGCCTGCCCGCCAGCATCCTGAGGCGTGATTTGTGTGTCTGTATATAGGGAGGAATGCACAAAAGCATGCTGGAATTTATTTTTAGGAGTAGAAATCCTGTGCCAGGTTTACTAAGAACATTTTGAAGTTCAGACATGTTGCATGTGTTTTTCACACCTGGTTGGATTGGAAAAACGGTGTGCTCTGGACACAGTCATCTTTCAATTAAGAGAAGAGATGGATTGTGTACCTTCATACATAAGTCAGATACAGGTTTAAAATAATAATCTCGGAGGGTGTTTTTTTTTTCTTTTGAATGGAACTTTGACAGGGGTGTGTGCTGCAAAATTCGAGAGTAACTTCAACACCCATGCTACAAACCGTAACACGGATGGGAGTACTGACTACGGAATCCTACAGATCAACAGCCGCTGGTGGTGCAACGACGGCAGGACCCCAGGCTCCAGGAACCTGTGCAATATCCCATGCTCAGGTGAGCTCAGTTTCTCAAGGCAACAAATGCCCTTCCATAATCCATGTGCTAGTAGATGAGCAAAGGTTGGGTACAACCCCATCTTTAGAACAAAGCAGAACAAAATTCAAACTCACTCTTCTCATTTTCAAAAAGGACATCTGCACTGTAGCCATGCACACATGAGAGGAAAAAGTTTCTTAATGGCAGGAACTGTGTTTCCCTGTCTACCCATCTGAATGTTTCTAGAGAAAAGAGGTTTCAGAGAAGCCATTTATTGATTAGCAGTGGCACTAACCTCTGGAAATTTTTGTTTGAAGGTAGTAAGAGCTTGACCCTTGCAAGATATTGTCCAAAATGCCACTTCCCCATCCCACTAGTGAAGGGGAGGAGAGGTGAATAGATTTGCAAATCCCCACTAGTTAGATAAAGGTGAAGTGACACTCGAGGTCTGTACATACAAAGGAAAAAGCATCATTTTTAATAGGAGACTCCTATGAAACAATCATCCTATACGCGTTGGCCCTCCCACAATTATTTCTAAGTACCATCCATGTGGGATGCATGTGCAACGGCAGGTGTAGGGAGGAAAACATTTTGATCGTGTACTGTGTTTTGTTCATCTGTACAGCCAAACAAATAATGCATCCCTGTAACGCCAACTCATTTTGACACGGACAAGGAATGCCTACACATGTAGCTAGGACCAACACATTCGAGGGAAAATAATCTGCAGGCAGAGTGAAAACGGGACAGCAGCAGAGGTCAGGGTAACCATACTGTAACTGCAAGCTTTCTCATCTGCCTGTGTCCAACACAGCACAGGGCTTATGCTGCCAGCTAATTTGTGATGCTTGTTCACCCCCAAAATGGCCATGTTCACACGGAAAGCAAAATAGAAAAGACTAAAATCTTTCTTTCTCACATCCTTTTAGTTAGGATTTCAGTTTTGTTTAAAGTATGGGTGTTTAGAACAGTGCAATAACCCTTTTGTCTTTCTAGAGCACAGCTGAATGGATGGTTATCTGCCAAGAAAGCCAACTAACAGTGCAGTTAGGTACCATAGGCAAAACAGTTTGGTTGCAGATTAACCATAAAATGATGGCAGAAAGTTGTTTGTTGTCACACTAGTAGCCGCATGCTATATTCTAACTCTATCTTCCAAAGACAAATGCATGAAATAGAGCTTCATCTTGCAGCCTGGATTATTCTGCATTGTTTGTGGCTTTGCTTCACTGGGTTTACTCTGCCTGCATTCTGATAGCTGGAAGCCGCTAGAGGAAAATTCTTTGGTTTTCTTTGGAACTTAGAAACAGAGAAACTGCCACACACCTGAAGGCCTTGCTATTTACCCAGAGAGCAGTGAGGTGCTGGCACAGGCTGCCCAGAGAGGTTGTGGATGCCCCTTCCCTGGAGGTGTTCAAGGCCAGGTTGGATGGGGTCCCTGGCAGCCTGGTCTGGTATTAAATGGGGAGGCTGGTGGCCCTGCCTGTGGCAGTGGGGCTGGATAACCGTGATCCTTGAGGTCTCTTCCAACCCAGGCACTGTCTGATTCCGTGATCCCTTACCAAAGACTGGACAGCAGACATCCCAGAGATGAGTAAGGATCTCTGTGCCTTAGAATGGGGATCTGGAAGCCCAGGGTGGCTGCACGCTGCTCGCAGGTTCCCTTTCCCCAGATCGTGGCGCATCTCTCTCTCTTCTCCCCCACGCCGTCTGTCCCTGCGTGCTGCACACACTGGCGCCGCTCTGCTGCCTGTTTCAGCAGACACCGTGCGGGCCCACGGGAGCGGGGAGCAAAGTGCTCAACGCCAACACGCCGGTCGCCTGAAGACGGTTAAAAATAAAATCATGAAATGACGCTTTTTACGCTTCCCTTCTTAAGCACTGCTGAGCTCGGACATAACGGCGAGCGTGAACTGCGCGAAGAAGATCGTCAGCGATGGAAACGGCATGAACGCGTGGTAGGTGGCGGGGGGTTCCGGGGAGAGGAGCCAACAGCGCCGACGACAGCGCCGTTCCTCAACGCTTCTCTCCCTCCGCTCAGGGTCGCCTGGCGCAACCGCTGCAAGGGCACCGACGTCCACGCGTGGATCAGAGGCTGCCGCCTGTGAGGAGCCGCCGCGCCCAGCCCGCCCGCCGCACGGCCGACCGCTTTGCTAGCGCGACGATCCCCGCTTGGCAGTTTTAAACGCGTTCCTCATTAAAGCCACCATCCGCAAACGGCTTCCCGTCGCTCAGCGCCTCTTTCCGCTGTCTGGGCGCCACTCGCGGCGCGGGCGGGGCGGGGCGGGGGCCGGGCGGGAGCTCGCGGCCAACCGGCGGCCAACAGGCGCCCCGTGACGGCGCCGCCCCGCCTCCGTGACGCG